AAATAATGAACAATATATTGGAATGTAATCAAATATCAAAGCACATTTAAAAGGAAAATAGTTAATGAAATAATTTGCGGTACGAAAATTTGCTATTTTTTCATAACAAATTGATTAATTAATTTAAAAATTTTGAACTACATTGATTTTAGCATATTCGTTTTTTTTTTCAAGTTGAAGAAAATAAAATATGTAATTTCAATTACCATACGAGAATGATATTTATAGTCAAAATAAATTTTCTTAAAAAAGCATTCCGGTTACAGAACATTTTTCTCCTCAAATTACTAATGACATTAATACTGGTGTAAATTTCGTATACCAAACATTATATATCTAATTTTAATATCAATATATACACATATACATTGCGTATTTAAAATAAAATATTATGAAAATTTTTTTCTTTCAAAATAATTGCGATAAGTGGTGAAAAAAAAATTTAATTTACATGTAATAAAACAAAAGTATCAAAAAATTGCAATAATTTAGATATAATTAAGAGTTGCTAATGTTAGATAAAAGAAATATACTTATAAAAACGATATTTATCCTATCGAGAGAGAGACAGGGAAAGAAAAAAAAAGCAAATTTAAAACAAAATAATTATCATCATATAAATTTATTAATAAGTACAAATTTATTATATTTTATGAGAATCATTAATATCATTAATGTTATTGTTATTTCATTAAAATAAAAAAGATTGCAATTAATACATAGCAAAAGATTGAAAATATATTTAGTGGATGGATGGGATGAATAAATGAATGGATGGGATATATTAGCGTACCATACCATAACAATTATCACTACCTTTCATTGCTATATTATTATTAACTCAGTTCATGTTTTTACTCTTCAAGGTCTTTTTTTGTCAACTGTCATATCATCGTATCCTTTCTTTTTTTTCTTCCTACTTTTTTTTTAACCCATCATTCTTTCATTCCATAATTTCCTTACTTGCGATAATGCATTCTTATTAGCAATAGGAGGAAATATTTAAAAGCTCATAAATATAGCTCATTTCCGTGTCAACATCTTCATCCTTCTATATCAATCCTTTTTCTTTTTCTTTTCTCACTTAAATCTCAAACAAAGTGCTTGCAAAAAAAAAATTTCATTTATAATCGGAAATATAATTATAATAATAATAATAAAAGTGATGAAAAAAAGACAAAGAAAGAATAAAGCCAAAAAAATTAAAAGCTATATATTCAGTTTCCGGAAAACAATTATTTTTAAAACGAAAATTATATGCTAAATGGTAAGGGGATGGAAACTGCTCAACAAATTTATTATCGTTTTAACAATCATTCTTCGTCTTCCTCTCTAAAAAATAATCAGCGCAAATCAACTGGTTTCCATTTAACATTTTTATTGCAATAGCAACAACAACAATAGCAATAGCAATATCAGTAACAACTACAACAATAATTAATGTAATTGAAGATTTTTTTTCTCCCATCAGTAATATTTTATGTTCTTTTTCTTTCTTTTTTTCAACTGTAATAACAAAAAAGAAGAATTCAATAATATAAAATGAATGCTTAAAATGTTTCGAATTTTAACATGTAAAATTTTATTTTCACAAATGCAACGATACAGGAAGATATGAAGCAAAAATTTGAAATACTTAATTTTAAAACAAATAATTTTATTAAAAACCAATTCCCTACTATATTGTTAGCATTTTTTAAAAACAATAAACAAAATTTTGAAAAATTTTACACACAACAATATATTACAAAAATTATTTTCAATTACAGTAAATACATAGTATATTATAGTGTTTATTTCGAAAATTTCATCTCTTTTTTCATTGCAATATTTTTTTTCTTTTTCAATATAAGGGATAATATATAAGAGGAAGAAATGAGTTCCTTTTTTTCCTTTCTCGAAAATTTATTCAATTATAAAACAGTATAAAATTAAGCGGAAAAAACTAACATAGTATTAACAGAAATGATTAAAAATAAGTTAATTGTAAAAATAAAAAACTCATTCAATAGAAATAAAAAAATCAATGAATTTGTGCAAAAAAAACAAGAAATCATTTCATTAAAAAATTTTTTTCGAATTATGTTATCTTAATTTATTTATTATTCATTCTCGTAGTTATTATTATAATTAATACCTCAATGATTCTCTCCCTCTTTCTTCTCACCTGTCCCATTTAATCCTTAAATCATAATCATACGGTCTGTTTAGGTATGACATATAAATGGGGTATATTTGTATGTGAGATAAATGTATTTTGATGCATTTTGGATGTGTCCCCTCTTCCTCTTCTGTCCACTTCTCTCTCTCTCCCTCTTTTTCTCCTCTTTCTATAATTGGATTTTAATAATTACTACACGTAGATGAGTGCAATAGTGAAATGAATCTTTTCACTCATTCCTCGATCATATATAAGATTGTATGTAAATTGTATGTGTGTGTATATGAAGTTCATATACGTTAAGCGTACGTGAGTATATGTGAGTGTGGTAGAAATTAGTATCCACCCCCGCATTCGATGAAGGTTTTGAGAGAACTCCACCCTGAAATGAACAAAATAGCCAATGAGAGGCATTGTAATGGCTGTTTAGTCCCAAAATGACGGCAATCAAAGCGATTCGTTGCCCTATTAGATGTGCACCTCTCTCGTCCCACCCCAAATCTCCCCTCTCATTCCCATTACGGTGACTCGATCAGTTTCTCTTCTCCCTCTTTCTGTTGTTGCTGTTGTTGTTGTTGTTGTTGTTAATGTCGAAGTACAATTCATCTCTTATCCGGTATTTAGTTGCCTGATCCGGATTTTGCTTATATTGTTGTCGATATCAGTTAGTATATAATTCAGGATATTTACAGATTTTACTTGGTATTTCCTTGTACTGATTTTAAAATTTCATTATATTCTTTAATTGTTTCTCAAATTTAAAAATTCATACACTTCAGAAATTAATTTTTAAACTAACTGAAGTCATTTCACTTAATGATAGCGAATAAAAAACGATAGATGGGTGAATAAGGAAGCAATAAAAAGATAAAGGTAATAAGGATCAGAGAATCGAAATATTCTTTTCCATATAATTTATTCATTTCGAATTTTCTTCTAATTTTTTTATTCAGCATTTAAGTTCTAAACAAAAAATATAAATTGAATTTTTATCTTACTGTTAATTTCCCTCATCTCATCATTCATTATTTCCACTCGCTAGTTAAAGAAGGAAGTAAATGTTAAATATGTGAAATTAATTGTTTAGTTTATTCATCATGCAATAATCAATATAGTGAATAAATAAATACAAAGTTATATAATGGAATTTAAATCATGGGTAAGCAGTTTTAATTTACTTATAATATGTTGGTGCAATGAAATAAATTATCTCTGCAAGTTTTATCATTTTATGAGTAAATTTTTAAATGGATAGAAACCAATAATTTTCATTTCACATATTTTTCAATCGCTACAATAAGAATGAAGATAATAAGAAAGCACTTTCTTAAATTGATTCCTGAATTGTAAATTCTATCGTCCTAATTGACCATTATTACCTTTTTTTTTCGGATCAATAAGCCATCTTCGATAAAAAATCAAAGTGAAATTTGAAAATATTTAAGAAATTTCAAAGTATATTACTAAGAGACTTTATTTAATAAATGATTATTTATGCAACCCTTTTTGTCGAATAAATTTGGTCATTTTATTTAGGCAAATTTTCAGTTATATTATTTTATGATGAAAAAATTATTTGCTACGTAAGTGAAAAAAATTTCAATAATATAACTAATATAAAATTTTGAAAGCTAAAATTTTTTAGTAACTTGTTGTAAATATAAATTTAATGAGGTTGATGATATATAAATTCTGGTTGGTAATTTTACTGACAGTTTTTTTAAATAATGAACGCATAATATATGTTGAAAGACGGTAAGGGTGTAAAATGATCGTTTTAGATGTATAATAGATCAAAGGGAGAGAAATAAATACACCGGGAGAAATAGTAACGTCGGAGAAAAGGTGAGGCTAAAGCAAAGTAGAGAAAAATGCTCATAGTTAAACTTGTTGTCAAAATATTTGTTAATTTGTTACTTTATAAAAAAAAAATTATGCTGCAAATTTACTTTGAAAAATATCAACTATATGGCTACACATTATAGCTGTCACCTATAGAATTATGCACCATTTAATTGAAGAGAAAAAAGTCCTAATTTTTCATTTTTTCATTTTTATCACTATTTTGCCCTATATTTACCAATTATATATACATAATGATGCATAGAATACTTAGTAAAAATTTTATTAATTAATTAATTTTTTCTCATTAATTTATTCAATAATTCTATTAAATCACTCAAATTTTAATTTTTTTCGTAAAATAAATAAAACAAAAATGGTAGAAAAATTAATTATGAAATATTTTTTTAGACGAAATCGTTGTGTTTAAAAGAATCTAATCTTGCAATGAGTAAATTCATTCGTGATAATAAGTTCTATCAGGAAATGGTAGCTAAATTTAAACCATAGCAAATTATATTTCAATAAATTTAGGTAAAAACAAAAGAGAAAGTCGTTAAAGTAAGTTATTGAAATTTCAATTCTGGTAAGGTGAATAGATTTAACGAATTAGTTTAAAGATATAAGTGAACATATTTTGAAATAATAAACTCGTTAGATAATTCTAACTACTTTAATTCTTTTTCGATGAATCAAATGTTATTATGTTCGTATTCAATACTATTACAGTTTCACAAGACACAGATAATTTAAAAATCTATAATTTCATTCTTTCAGTTTTTTATCTACTTCTGGTTTTTTGCATCTACATAAATTTACAAAAACTTTCAAATTAATTAATAAATTCCTATCTGTAATGAGTGTGAGCTATAACTTTTATCATTCGCTTTGTTAAACATTGCTAACATATTTACCAATTAAAAGTTTAATCAATGCTTCAGTAAAATATACTGCAAAAATTCATTAAGATATTTAATTTTAATTATTATAGAAGGTAATGAATCTATTGGATCCACGTCAATTAATGATGAATCCATTTGCGTATAGTGTAGTGGATCCGGCAACGATAGCATTATTAAATACGACATCCGGTACTCAAAGCAGTAATGCTGGAAAAATTGTCACCACATCTAGCAATTTACATAGCAATAATAGTTCGGGTAATAGTAGCTTCCGGATTTCTGATATTCTTGATTCAAATGAAGATAAAGCGAATACAAGCGGTGAAAATGGTTAGTATTGATTTGATATATACCAGCTTTATAAATTTACAAAAATATTTCATGAAAGTAATAATTTTAATTTTTGTTGTTATTATTTCTAATTCATTTCAAAAATCTGTGTTCAGTTTTTTCATTCTCCAAAATGATTTATTTATTAGATTTAATTTAGTAATTTTGATTCTTCATAGATTAAATTTGCAAAAAATTAAATGATAATAATTTGAATTTTATAATGATTCTATTAAGCTAATCACTGCATATAATTTGTTCAATCTAATTTTTATTTCATAATAAAAATTAACAAATAAATTTATACTTAGAAAATTAATAGTATGATTAGGATAGCCTTCTTTAATTCTAATAATACATGCAAGTAAATTTTTTTAAATTGCTTAATAAAAGCACAAAAATCTGAAATTTCAACAGTTCTACCGTAATCCTTATTTTGCCAAAAATCAATAACTGCATCAAGTAGACAAATATTTATCACATTGTTTGTGTTAAGTATTTAGAATCAGTCAGGATGTTAAGCTTGCCAATATAATCAGGTAATAATTTCATTCACTTAGCACCTGTCCTACCCCGTCATTACTGTCTCATTCTTTTCATATGTTATAAAAATTATTGATTCAATTTTGCCTGTTCAATCCGATTTTAGCATAAATTTCACAAAATACCTATCATAAAATAATATTAGCAAAAAAATGAAAAATAAAATTAATGAAAATGATAACTTTCTTCATTATGGTGCGACTATTAAGACAAATAATGAAAACAAAAGTGATAGCAGCTTTTGGTCCAGCTAACCGTAATTTGGTGGTATTGAAGCGGAAAATACCTATTTCCACCTTTTTTCAGGATTACCTGATATTAACAAATGTTTTCTTCTTATTCTCTCATTTTTCTCCATTTTTCTTCCCAATTTTTTCTCTCCCTCTTCTCTTTTGTTAGTCCATTCTTAGTAATGACTAATTTATAAGCTGTTCATTAGAATTATTACCAATTATTGCTCTTAGTCTGCTAAATGGATTATCGAAATTGTGATCATTCAGGGCAGATGGAAGATGGAAAATTATGGATTGAAAAGATCTTTTGAAGGGGTTTTACAAGGGGGATTATCATGCTTTTAATCTGCAATACCTCATTTTCTTTCCTTTTTGTAATTTTAGATTAAGTAATAAAAAATTAGTCGTATTGAGTGAACGAGAAAGAAAGATGAGAAAATTGTGGTAGTTATGAAAAGTATGGATGGATATATTCATGAAGAAATAATAAAGAAGGCTTTTTTTTTAACAATTGATTCGGGATTAACAAAACGGATTAATGGATGATGATGTGAATGATGAGATTTGCTCATTTACTAATTACCTTCAAATACTTTTGTTAGCTATTGTTATTGTTATTTGATTTGTATCATAACCATTTTCAGTTTTCGGGATAATACCAATTGAATTGAGTAGATAAGAGAGAGGGAGAGAAAGAGAGGAAGAGAAAGGTAGAATGAAAAATGTCGTAAGGGGATGGAATAGAAAGAGGGAAAAGAAAAATATAATATTGTATAAAAATTTTATGTTGAATTCAACGAATTTTTATACATAACTATTGTATAAAATTTTCAACTATATTGTATAAAAATTTCAACCATAAATAAAAAATTATTTTACATCGTGTTGAATTCAATTTCACCTTGATTATATTCCAAAATTATCAATAGCGATGAGACGAGAAAGGAATGATAAGGAAAGAGACTTTGATGAAAGAACAAGATTAAAAAGAAAAATTAATTCAACGTATTGCTATTTTAAAAATTTTCAGCTGCATAATTAGTTCCTTTTCTAATCCTTTTGATAACTAGGAAGTAAAAAAAAGAAATAAGATTTTCTTTTGAAAAATTTTTCGTTAGCTATCATTGCGCTAATCAAGTACAGTTTATTAATTTAGAATTATCATCACTGGGTGAGGATGAACGAAGCGGGTCAACGGAATCACATCGTTCTGGTTGTAGTCCACATTCTCATTCCTCAATTGGATGCAGTAAAAAAGCCCGCAAAGCACGGACAATCTTTACTGATAAGCAGTTACAGGTACGAAATACTTATTTCCTTTAATTTATTGCTAATTGAAGTGATAATTTTGTGAAAATATTATACAAATTTATTTCGAAAGAAAAAAATTTCAGGAATTAGAAGCAACATTTGATAAGCAAAAATATCTAAGTGTGCAAGATCGAATGGATTTAGCACAACGGATGGGTCTTTCGGACACTCAAGTGAAGACGTGGTATCAAAATCGGCGGTAATTAACTTCTTCGTTTTAAATTTTTTTTCAATTTGTTTGTTCCTTTTCTTTCTTTTCTAGTAGTATTAAAAATATTTATTTAATAGATAATTTTGAATGATAATGGTTTTCAAAAGGATTATTACGAAATGTTTTTAGTAATGATGTAATATTACATTAAAAAATGTCACCACGAAATTCAGCAAAATTTATTTGAAAAGTAAACTTTTGTTGTATTTCAAATCTATTTGAAATATATCAAAGAAGATTTGATATAAAAATGAAAAAAGGAAAAAATAATCCCATGTGTTTTGAAGAACAAAGTGATTCACACTTAACGCTACTAATTCACTACTTTCTATCATATTGCGCTCAACTTTTTAAATTGTTATTTCTCACTTAAGTTTTACAAAGAAAAAAAAAAGCAAAACAAAAGAGTCTTATATATAAATACTGAAATAGGAACGTGATTCGTTTCTTCAACATTTTTGCTACCGTATCCTGTAAAAACTACTGTAAACTTTTCAAATATACTTTTGTTTTTATTTGTAAAATATTACCTCTCTTCCTTTTTCCTCCCTCTTCTTTTCATGTTCACCCAAACTGATCGTCATCTTTTCATCAGTTAAAAACCAGTTTCAATTAGTGAATGGAATTTCGCATTCATCGTTATGCATCATCCATCCTAACAACATTTACAATCTCTCCGAATATTTCCAGTAATGAGGAATAATTACTTCAAACAGGTCAAACATCCCTACATTTCCATCAAATTAGAAATGATTAATTTTAATTCGATATCGATTAACTCTTTATTACAGAGCACTTACTTTTACTGTTTTGGTACTTTTATGTATTACTGAAACTTAACAACTTTCTAACTGTAATGTAGTGTAGTGTAATGTAACGTAATGTAATGTAATGTAAACTGATCATATGCTGTAAATTAGAACCGAATAAATTAATTATTTTCTCGTTCGTCTTACCAAATCGAAAATTTTAATGCTATTTAATAGGATGCGTATGCGAAACATTAGCGAATTTAAGAACATACAAATTTCATTTATAAATAGGCGTAAGCATGTATTTGTGCACATTTCATTACGTTCTCATCTTTTATCGATTTCAAAAAACATTTCTCAACTCTATTAATTGACCATGTATTGCCTTTTGCTACGGCATTTCTACTCTTTTCTCATTTTAAATTTTATTTTATCTCATTTTACAAATCGTTACAGTTATCAAATTTTGTTATGCAAATTTAAATTACGCTCTATTTACACTGCTATGATATTAGTCAATTCTTCTTTCTTTATTCATCATTATGAAATGGTTATATTATTTGAGTGCTAAATGATTCAATAACTAACAATAAATGTAGTCAAAATAATTTTGATAAAATTGGAAATAAATTTAGAGTTAGTGAATAATGAAGATTAAGCGATTCGAGATATAACAAGAGAGATAAATTAGTTGAAATTGGTTGAGGGTGATGAACTTGTTATCTGATGGGTGACTGGTATGAGTAAGGAGAGATCATATGATAATATTCGATAAAAGTTGATGGTTGAAATTAGAGTCTAATGTGATCAAATTAAGCTGAAATTGCTTATTGCTTCATTTTATAATGAATAATTTGATAAGCTTAATTTAGCAATTTTTTAAATAAACTATTCCTGTTTTCACTCCAGTTATTCATTGAAATTCTAAATTTGAATTCTCAATGAAGCATATCTAAATATTCGAATTTAGTATTCTTAAATTTAGGACTAAAAATTTTTCAACTTTTAACATTTTAACTCAATCCTTAAGTATGTTTATTTAAAATATTTCGTCAAAAAATACTTAAAAAGTGAAATTTGGTCTAGATGAGATGATAGAGTTATTTACTCCGATTTTCATGAATCTTAGTTAGTTGAAATTCTGATTTTTATTTTCCAGAATATCTCTTTTATTTGTATTTATCAAAAAGAACCTTTATAAAATAATCGGAACAAACTTTCAGAATTTATCTTCAATTGCAATAAAGCTAACTGAAATTCTGATTCATTTATAATAATTAGCACCCTTTCCTCTACCATTCCTCTTATAGAAATTTCTTATTTCAAACGTTTGAAATTTAATGATTTAATAAACTCCAATGGACATCTGTTCAGTTTTCAATCACTAAGATTTTATTTCTATTCTATGTTGAAAAAGCTCATCAATACTTTGCTGAGAGAGTTAATATATTCAAAGAATGGAAGACACATATTGTAATCGATTTGGAAATGCATTACATTGTCAGTCTGAATTTGCTTGCATAAAATTAGCTAAAGGAATATAAAGGAAAGCAGATGTATAAAAATGGTCGAAGAGGCTTTTTATTGTTAGTGGTTGTGAAGTGTGGATTCTCGATTGTTTGGCTAATTATTAAATGATTAGCTAAGAAATCATATGTTTAATTCATTCCACTATTTCGTGTTATACTGAAATTTCAGATAAATAATAAAAGTACAGGTGGATTTTTGAAATTTTCACATATTTTACACATTGCTTTCTAAGTAAATGAATTATTTTATTTTGATGAAGTTTCATTATCGTCAATTGTATTCAAATTAAGCCATGCTACTAGTGTTAGTGTTCTTTTGGACTTTGCATAAACGGTAATCTGATTTCATTTTTTCTTTAATAATTTTAAGCATTTCAGTATAAATTTAACTCCTTAGGCAATTGCATTTCTTCAAATATTCGATCTAAAAATATATATACTTTTCCAATACAACAAATAATACATGCTTGTAAATATTGACTTGAAAGGTTCAAAAAAATTTCTTTTATAATGTGTACCATTTCCTCAGATTTTATTTATTCATATCGCTATCACAGAAATCATTCATTTATGTCGCTATCGTAGAAATCATTTATTAATATCGTTATCGCAGAAATCATTCATTCATATTGCAGATATCACTCATCCAATCACTATCTAAAAAAAAATTCTCATCATGAAAAAGTTCACTTTTAGTGAACTTTCAGGACAGTTCACAAACTACTGTACCATTATTTTCATATTCTTTTTTTTTATTTGAAATATTCCTTTTCATTCACTTAATTTTTGTGGAGATTGTGCGTTCTACCATTTTTTCACTCATTACTTTAATTTAACTAAAACGATTAATTACAAACATTATTTAAATCAATTCCATCCATTCATATTCAATTTTTCGTTTTCCACAATTCATTTAAAGCTATTTTAATTTCTCAGCATCTTTTCTTTTTTTCTCTTTTTTCAAAATTTAACTGTATTGAGAACGTATACGAATGGAAGCAGAAAGTTATTGGAACAAACTCAAAATTTATAGAATTTAAATTTGATTTCAAGACGTACGAGTACTATTCTTTTTTTCCAAAATTTTATTCACATTCATCTTTTTTTTTGTAAAAAAATAGATTAAATGCGGTTAAAATTTTATTTCTTACATATGAAAATGTCATTATCATTGAAACATTCATCAATGGAGCCAAAATAAATTGCGCTTGGAAAAGATTTAATTCTAATTTGCTAGAAGAAATTTGCTTATGCACAAACATTTGTATTATTCAGGTGTCTCGAAGTGAAAGTAAACATAAAGCAGTGGAAGAATTTGATGACACAAATAACGATGAAGCTAAAATGGCGCTCACTTCAAGCATTTTTTGATTGAAATTGATTTAAGCGAAGCAGTAACGATTCACTCAAATTTCAAATAACTTCTTCAGTGTGCTCACTTCTTTATTCTTCACAACGGAAATCTTTAAGAAAACAGAATGGATAAAAAAACGGTGAGTATTAAATCAGCTATAATTAAAAATTTATTGCTTACGATGAATTCGTCAAAATTAACAACAAAAAAAATTGATAGACTTTTTAGTCAAAACTTGGATACTTACTGATTTCATTAATTTCTTAAATTCAAATACTGATTATGAAATATGTTTGGGAAAGTTTACTGAGACAAATAATTTAATAAATTTCACGTAAGTAATACAGTATATTAGGTTTCATGTAAATATTGTAATATCAGATATATTGCAATAATCATAATCAATAATTCAATTAATTTCATAATTTAGTGCTTTATGAAATTTTGTTTCAATCATTCAAAACAATATTGTTCCTTTCAATTCTTCAAGAGAGCAAAATTTATTCTAATATGAAAGCGAATAATCTCTTAATTATCTACTTGTAATTACTTACAGTAGATAAGATCACGTTACACATGAAATAAAAAATTTAACATTCTACGTCTTTTTTTTTTACTTTCTTTTTTAATGTTCCAATATTTTAAAGTTGGCATTCTGATATTCGAAATATTCAGATAAAAATTGATCTTTAAATTTCAACATCAATTGCTCTTCATCTGGAACAAATGCATCCCTGAATGATAGATTTATCTGACATGTTCATGCATCCCTGATAGAACATCTGACATATTTGAAATGACCCTGAACTTGATCCGTTATCATAAATAATATTGCTTATAATCTTATCCTTTCTTTTTTCCCAATCAATATAAATTATATTCGCAATTCAACTTAAAATTTATGGTAATGTATAAAAAAAAAAGTAAAGTAAAATTTTTGTTTACATTCTTTTTCCACCTATTGAATCATTCTTCTCTCTACATCTCCTCCACCTATTGTTCAGATTTTCGCATGAGTAATTTTATTCAAATAAATTTTGATCCTCAAATTTTCTTACCAAAAATTAATCTTAAGGCTTATAAGCAAGCATTTAAATATGATCAATAAGTATAAGCAAATGATAAAATACATTCCTCCTACAATATATTCTTGCTATATTTGCAAACTAAAACTTCTTCACGCATTTCTATGTATTTTTAGTATTTTTGTTCAATTTTTATAGCATCCTTTCGAAATTTGAATTTAAGAGATGTGAGGTTAGTTTGCAGTGATTCCAAATTTTTTTCTTCTTTCAATAAAACTGATACACAATGCACTTTACGTATACACACGCAAGCATGCACACACAGACATACACGCACAGACATACACGCACAGACATACACACACAGACATACACACACAGACATACACACACAGACATACACGCACAGACATACATACACATGCACGTCACCCATATGTATATAAAAAGCCGCTGAAAAAAAAAAGGAGGAAATGATAATGATAAATGGATAGGGATCGATGTTATCAGCATGAGGAGGAAAAGGAGATAAATGTTTTCTGAAGTGATGAGATCACATTTCAGAGTGAGAAAAACATATAGCAAATGTTTTGAAATGGGATCATTTAAATTACAACTATCCTTCGTTCATATCAATCTTTTCCTCCATTAAATTTGAGAAATTCAATAGATTTAATGATCGATTCATTTCATTCTAAAATCTTTGAACTGTTCATTTCAGTTCAAATTATCCATTCTAACAATTTTATTTCACTATTCTTCAAGTCGTATCAAAACAACGAACGCTTTCATCCTCAAAATATTTTCTTATTGAGGCAATTTTCCGCCTACATCATTAATCATTCTGCAACATTTTCTGTTCAAAATTTTTGATCTTCAAATGCAAATGGATGAATAGTTGAACGGATTTTCCTGTTTGTCACATTTCATTTATATGCTATCCGAACGACACTGTTAGTGATGAGTAGAACTATCAAAATATTCAATATGGATATTTCAAAATCTGAGAGTAATTCAGAATCTTTCTACATTTCTCAGAAATTTGTGGCACCAAAAAAATATTTAATCATTTGAAAATGTCAAAATTTTTGAACTATCAGAAGCGCACGTTCGATATTTCATTGACAAATTATTATCATTTTAAATTGCTATAATCATGATTTTTTCGAAGTGTCATTATTGTCAACATAAGCCAACGAAATTTTCTCGCTATGATCATTTAAACAATAATCAACAGCAACATCATTATCTGATGAATTTCCATGGTCAGCATCGTTTACCTTACAATTTTATGTATTGTTCATTTTGCGCCCTTTATTTCAATGGATATATAGAGCTACAGGAATATGCGAAACAACAGGAAATGAAACATCGCCGTAAAATCATCCTTCCTTGCGTAATTCCATGGGAATATGGATCTAATAAATATGCCAGTCAAAAAGGTACCGCTGGTTTTGGTACCATTCGTAATGCCAGTAAGTACCATTTTAATTTTACATAATAAATTCTAAAAATTTAACGTATATTTTTTTTTACCATTAATATTAACAATTATTATTTTTTTTTTTTGAATTAAACAATTTTTTCAAATTTAGATATATTCTGATACATAAATCTGAATGGAGTGAACGAGCAATTTGTTTGTTGAAATTTGTGATCTCCGGACATAATCTCCATCATTTTTTTTTTAGATCTTATTTCAATTTAAAGTATTCTATTTTATAGCTCACTACTTCACATTTTTATACATGTTTGCTTGTTTTATGTTTTATGTTTGTTTTAATGTTTGTTTAATAGCACTAAATGATTTCAAGTAATTATTTTAAACAGGATTTTTAGTTTACCAAGCAAATGCTTTAAAATTCTTGTAGTATTGGATCGATTTGAATTTATTTGATTTTGCACATTTTCATTTAAATATCGCATTACAATAGGTCAATTATGCTCATCACTTTTTTCATGCTTGAAATTATCAAATTTCTAAAGTAAAAATTTACTCTAATCACCCGGCAATTATCAGTTAGGAAATACTGTAATCATTTTATTATTAGTAAGGGGAACATTAATAATAAAAAAATTCAAACGGAGCAATTTTTTCATTTGAAAACTTTTGAGAATGATAGCGCTTTTCTTTGCTGATTTCTTCTTTCAAATGTTTTTATTGCTTGCAGAAGATTTCATCATAACCTTTTGTTTTTGTTTTGTCTTTTTCAAATATTAAAAAAGTTTTTTGTGAAGAAATTAATAATTTAATGAATAACTTTACTGATCAAAATCATTTACATTAACTCAGTAATGGTAATACATTTCACACAAACGAGCATCTTGACCTTTTGACCTGGAAATAACATTAAATTGGAGACTTTTTTCTTTCAGCAACAACAATCAAATGCAGTAAACAGCTAAGCGAAAGTAATGATGGCGTGGTACCATGGATGAACTGTCCACAGTTACGTGATAAAGAACTTGCATCTCAAGCAGGTCTGACACCATTTGGTGGAATTCGAGAACATGCTATTAAAGTACAGGACAAGGTAAGTAATCTGGAAAGTCATAAATAAGCAACAAATCATTACAATTAAATGATTCATTCATTCATTTTTCTTTTCTTTCGACGAAGAATGCCAAAATTCCTCCAAAATTCAATTTCGTCTTTTTTTAATGATTCTTTTTATAAGAAACGTTGTTATAAATTATATGTTTTCTTAATCAAATTTTTCATTCTCAGACAAATCAAAATTTGAAAGCACAAAAACTTGAAGGTAATTAATGAATTTCATTTTATACGATACTTTGTAATTTATCTTTCAAGCTGAAAATTATGTCGTCGGATATGATAGGGTTAAGTAGATGATAAGATGATGCTAAATTGATTGATTAACTGATTGATCAAATAGTATAAAATATCAGTGATTATGTGATTAATTTATAAATTAAATGGAATGTGCATTGAAGAAGCGCAACATTATAAATGAGTGAGGAATCCCAAATAATCAAATCCGGCGGAAAAATCCAAAATAAGTATATTCAATTATCCGTTCATTGCAAATCAAAATAATAATTGAAATAGTATTATTTTAGATTGATTAATGATTTCATTTTCACCTATTGCTTCCAGACTAATTACACTTTGAAAATTAAATTTATTTAGAATTGCCGTTAATTTGTAAGTGTGTGAAAAATTCTGGAACAGAAATTTGTTTTAGGATGGTGAGAAGAAGAAAGATATTAGCAAACTTATCGGCGATCAGACCAGCGAATGTATATTGAAAATTTGGTCGCAAGCAAATCCGAACGCTAAAAACGGTCAGTTATTTGGTGAGTATTTGAATTAATGCGACAGTGAGGAGAAAAAATCGAAGAAGGCGAGTGGAATTGAATTTGAGAAATCAAATCACTCATTATCAATATTTATTCGTTTCATTAACATTTAGTCTGATCATTATGAAATGTTATCTGATTATATTTTTAATCAAAAATTGGAAATGCTTAGGAAAGCATCGAGATGCTATAATGGAAGTGAAAGGCGGTCGGCAATTTAGTCAAAAAGAATTAAATGCTAGCAGAGCAGCTATTCCAAAATTTCATGATCCACGTGAAACTATTGCAGAAAAAGCGAAGAAAGCTGACGGTGTAAGTTTTTTTTTTTTATTTTTTATTTTGATAATGAAAATAAAAATTGAAAGATGAGAAATTATAAGAGCAATTAAGTATGTTGTGCTGTAATTTTGTATTCTAAAGTAAAAACAAAATGTTCGTTGTGTCATTTCTGTTTGGAGAGATGTAAATGTTTAGAAAACAAATTATAAATAAAATTTAATTAACACTTCAACAAGAACTAATAGTTAGATTTTTATTTCGATGACATAAATTTACACTTATTTTAATTACAAATATATTTTAGACTCGGTCTGACGGATTAATTAGCAATAGACAAGAAAATATGCGAAGTAAAAGTGCAAGAGGAACAGAAAATAATATCTTGGATTCAAATTATATGGCCTGGATCGGTGGACAGGTTTTTGGCTTCATCTCTTCTCATTTACTTTCAGATAGCATTATTGCTTTTTCCGTATTTATGCAAAAAAAAAAGACAATCAATAAAATCATATGATTTATTATTTGATGATATTTTCAGTTAACATTACAGTCACAAATACAGACGGATGGCACTCGAAAGTCTCCTGATATCATCTCGAAATCCTATTTTGATCGAGTGATGAATGAGAGGGAATATTTGATTGAGAAAGCAAAGAAAGAGAAAGCACAACGTGAAGAACAAAAAGAGAAAGAAAAGGTTAAAGGTAAATTTGAATTTGATGAAAGAGAAAGGAGAATCAATGAAGCACAAATAACAAAATGGAAAGTGGAGGAGCAAAATAGTGATATTTCTACTGATATTATTGCACTTTACCATTAACAATAATAATAAGAAGGTGAATGACTGATAACATGACCGATATTAAATAATTGGCTCATTTCACCTATCAAATCATCTCTATTTTGGAAACATTATACAAAACGATTAGTTTTATAAAGTCAAATTTGGTAGCGATTTGATTAGTTAAATTGGAATTGTTATTCTGAGCATTCAGCTTTGCACTTTTTCATTTCCAATATCGCCTGCTATTTATTTTATTTTTGTTAATATTGAACAAATGTTATTCTTTAACACCAATTTGCAATCAATTCTTCATTTTCTTCAATCTGTCACAGTATATTTCATTTGTATTATAAAAATAAAAGCCTTTTTCAATGAAAATTTGATAAAATTTGATTTCAGATATAATTCTTTTCATCCCTCTTTTTTTATTGCACATAATTGCTTACTCATTTTAATTTACAGTCGCTCTAAATTAAAAAGTTGAAAATACTGTAAATTTTTGTTGTGTTATATTCATTATTGTAATGCATCATAATATATTTTAATTTATCACTTATGCAACAATAGTGTTTGATAGCAGTACTATAAAGCAAATTAAATTTTAATTGAAATAAAAAATATATATGTCATTTCAGTTTCATTTTTTTGGAAGAATTCAACTTGGATTTAATTAGAGATGAAATAAGATGAAGTGCTACTTCAAGATTTGAAGTTCAATTTTAATCAAAATTAAAAATTGGTCATTTGCTGTTTGCAAGCAATATCATTGCAAAATTGCAATAGATCAGAAAGAAATTTGATCATTACATTTAAGTAATACACGTATTCTGTTTCATTGACAGTGTGCAGTAGTAAGTGTTATCTTAAAGCTTTAGGTGTTAAATTTAATTTTACGAAGTTCATTAAATAGTTCAAAATAAGCTATTTTTCAAAGTTTGCTCAATACGAGTAATCATTTCACAATAAATTTTTGATATTTTTAAAATTAAATTGCTCAATCAATATTAGCATATTTTTATTTCGAAGTAGTTTTAACTATTCCGAAATATTCAGTTACTTATCATCGTCCAAATTTTCATCAAATTTTAATTTCTTCCTGTGTTTTAGTTGCCATTAACAATGAAAGATAAGAGAAATCGAAGTAAGATTTCATCATAAATTATTTTCAACGTTAGAATTGCAATTTTCCTTTTTAGCAATAGCTCTACATTAACATTATCACTTATCAGTGATAAGATGATAAGCAACTGAATATTCATTTATCCCAATCATATTCCAAGCTAATTATATCGATCGATAACTATATCATTGGCTACTTATCATCATTCAAATTTCATCAAATTTAAACACTCATCATTGCACAGCTATTGGTGCATTAAGTAAATTAAAAATTTTCATCACTTAAAGGAAAGATAGCTTCCATATACTAAAATAATAACCTTTAATTTCCATGTGAAAATCACATTTTGTTTCTAATTAAAAAAAAAATTACAGTGGGAAGAGTGTCGTGATAAAACAGACCGATATATCATAGTGCCCAGCACAGGCAAAAAATAAATTCCCTAATCAAAATCGAATTTAATTTTATCCAAATTTCATTCATATCATTGCCTGCAAATGGTTAGTGATCGATGATCGACCATTTGCACTTTATTTTTGAATGAGCAAATGGAAAAATAGAAACAGTCATTTTGCTTATAATAGACGTTTGACGTAAAATACACGTCAAAGATTGATTGATGCGCGAAAAATTTCGAAAACTTAAAATAACTTTATAAAATTTGAGAGAAAACCGCTCAGCTCTTTTCAAATGCTTACATTTTAGAAGTTTGTTTATCCAATTCATATATGAATACATTCAATTTAAATTTGAACACCCGACAGATCAATTCAACATAACTGTTAAATTCTTTCATTCTAAATTAAGCTTATGTTTAGTAGTTCAATTGTTGTATTCACATCACTATCTTTCTATTCAATAGGATTATATCGATAAATTTTGTTTACTATATTTTCAATCAGTAGTTTTCTTGCACCAAATATTTTGTATATAAAATGAATAATTGTCTGTTTTATTATAAATGAAATTTTCCATTGAAAAGTCTTTGTGTGTAAACGAAATGGTCTGACCATTTTGCATTCTCTTCTGAACCAATATCTCAACAATCAGTCCTAGGTGACCCATTCGGATCAATCAATAACGATGATCAACTTAACGATCAACTCACTTCACTATATTTTCTGATAATTGTTTTATAACATCAACAAAAATAAATCCCTCTATCAAATAATAAAACCTTCGCGAAACAGTTCAATTGTGTCAAAACTAAAAACTGACCCTACAAAAAAAAAAAAAAAAAAAAACCGTTCACAATAAAAAAAATGGCTTAAATTTGATTTATCTGAATTAACATATTAAATAATTTTGCAGAAAATGGATTTTACTGTTTGGTATTTGTATCAATCATTTCTATTCTTAACTGCAATGTATTTTAGTAAATCGATCGAATTTTCAGGTACCAATGTAAACAATTACTCAATTCTTTTATTTTTCATTTTTTCATCTATTTAGAAATGATTAAATAATATTTTAATTTTCTCATAAAATTCAGAAAAAATGGTGAATAACGCAGAAATTGTAAATTTGGTCAATCAGTTTCGACAACAAGATATCAACAAAGCTGATAATAAGCAAATAATTTTGGATTATCAGAACCGTACAACAGTTAATGATCCCAGTGATAAAGCTCAACGAAGGTAACACCAATAAAATCAGTAACTTTACAGAAATACTCAAAAAAAGGAAAAAAAATGCAATTCAAATATATCGAATATTGAATCATAATGAATTTCATCATTAATCAGTAATATCTACTAAAAATGTTGCTAATTATATTTCTTTATCATTGTCTTTCATTCTATTTTTACTCACATTCTACTTACAAATTACAACTTATAACTTTTTTATTATTGTTAATTTCTGATATGTTATTTGTGGGTAATAATGAAATTCTCTATGGGATTTTAATTTATACTAATGATTTGCATATTTTATCTCTTCAAATTTCAATCTAATTTTGTGAGTACAAGTTTTAATCACATATAAAATGATTTGTGATATAATTGTTTAATGAGGCATTTCTAAAATTTTTCATTCCAATGATTTTTGCAATTTGCTAATTAAAATTCCGTTAACGACCATTTTTAAGGTTCTTCAAACATGTAGATCCTGCTTTACTGAAAAAGAATATGTATAGAAAATGGATTGCACTCAGCAATGAATTTGTTCCAGAAGTTGGAATTGAAGAGAAGGATACGCCAAAAGTATTAATTTTGCTTTTTTCCATTTTCGAATAGTCACAGAAATTTTTTCAATCACAATGAAATGTTAAGCAAAAAAACGAGAATGAAGAAAAAGAGATGAAGAGTTGGAAGAGTAGAATTTTTCATAAAAATTTTAAATAAAATATATAAACATAAAAGCTGGTTGCTATTTATCATAAAATTTGTTATTTGACAGATAGCAACCAACTCCTATGCTTACTAAAATTCATTTAAAATTTAAAAACTATAATTTAATTTTTTTTTAAATTTTGAAAACTATCATTAAAAATTTAAAAAAGACGAGTCAAATTTTATATCGAATTATAAAATTTTGGATGTTAAATACTTTTAAAATGTTATTTCTAGAAAAGAAAAGCTATTGATGATTTTCTTGCTGCAGCTTTCAACACCTCAATATGGCGAAATCTTTTTGGGTTTCTGCAGAGCAAACGTAAACTATATTTTAAAAATGCTTCTAGTTCAGTAAAGCATTACTTGCTTTATCTCCATTTGTCATGAAGAAATTAGCCCTTGAAATTTTAAATTCTACAATTTACACCCTGCAAATTCAGAAAAAAAAAGTATTGTTAAATATATTTTTTAAAGTGCTAGTAAATACTTTAATACGACAAATAATGAAACGACAATTACAAAGATTTTATCTTAAGATCATCCATATACAAGAGACTTCCAAACATTCTATTCTCGGATTAAACAGTTATGGTTTGAAGGATATTCAAGAAAATCGAATATCATTAGCTCAAGCGGATTTGAGCACGTTTTCATGGGAGAGGTATTCAATATTAATTATAAATTTTATATTAAAATTCAACCTTTGAAAGTTGAAAATTTAAAGAATTTCTTGTTACCATGATGTTGTCATTTAACACTTACTGTTATCCATTTTTATTAGCTTCTAATGAAATATGTTTGCTTTATTTGTTTTGAAAAAAAATTTAAATAATTATTAAAATTCAGCATAAAGGGAGCGATATAAGTGGAATGCATTCATGGCTGCGATTTCATTTATTGGAACAAAATACTTCACAACAATTTGATTATCATGGCTATATCATTAAACGATTTGTTAGTTGTTAACGGTTATTTTGTTGACAAATGGAAAAAGGATGGGCGAGAAAATTTGGATTACATTTATTAAATCATTAAATATATTTAAATATATGCATCTTGTTAAGTCAGATCACTTTGTTTATGTTCATATTCGTTAAAATTAGTTTAAAAAAATGTGATTATATTAAAAATTTTTTTTATTCATTTACACATTATCATTTATGTGAAAATTTAACATTAAATGTGAAATTATCTTAAATATAAAGTAATTTGATTGAATATTTTGCCTTCAATTGTTATGTATTAATAAGAGAAGCAATTAAATGAATATTCAAGAAGTGATAGAAAATTTTTCTTTTCAGAATTTCATGGCTGCAGTGAAATTTAGTTGGCGTAATCATACTAAGCAAGCCGCTTCATTCTTCATAGGTACAAGCCCAGAATTTGATTTGGCACTTTATACATTATGTTTTCTCACACGTCAACTTAATAGGACATGCCAAGTAAGCTTAATTTTTAATTTTTTTTTTCTAGCGCTTTTAAATAATTCAAATGATTTAGTAATTTGCGAGCGAGATTGCTTGAGCTTTCATTGATGAAATTAAATTGAAATTTTTTACCATTTTCAGTTTGAAATAGACGGATGTACATTCTTCATTACCAGTTATAACTTTAAGCAACGTGGCAAAAATTTTATCGGAACAATTTATCCGGTTGCTGGACAATTTACGAACAAATGCCGACACCATAATATTCAATAAATATCGAATATTTTTAAAATAAAAAAGAAAAACAAATTTTCCAATATTCCAATGCCAAATACAATTTTTTTTATTGTAAAAGAAAGAGCAATTTGTCTATCGTATTTTGAATATTTCGGACAATATTCAACCTAATTGTCTTATTTTAATAAATAAAAAATATTAACTAAATGTATCGAAAGATCATGAAATTTGCTTTCGAAATTTGAAACTACTTACTTTCGGATTATCAAATTAATTGCTGCATTAAATGCAGAAGTTCTATTCGAAATAATATCCAATGCGTGCAACATCGAAAAATTTTCCAATTTATGTTTCAATAAATGACAGCAATAAGGATCCAAGCATTCGTTGGACAAAGCTGAAATAAAATAGTTGAATTCGAGAGCATAAAAACTACTTTTATCATATCAAATTGTTCTGTTAAAGTCATTGATTTCATACTAATTATGAATGAGTACAAATGTTAAAATTTCAATCAAATTATTTCAGCTCATAATCTTTTTTTCTACATACTGATTTCTCCGCAAAAAGTACTACTTTAATCTGAAAGTATAAGCGTAGTCTCAATTTAAATGTAGCATAAATTTTTGACATAGTATTTGACTGTATCCCTTTTATTGATTTTACTGATAATGGAAAACACAATTTCTATAGCGTCTTTTTTTGTCGGGGGAAGATAATAGAGCAAGTTGATAACAGGAAATATTTTCGTATCAATTTAGGTGTAGTAATCATTCGCTTTAAAAAATTCATTCATTGTAATTATCTGTGATATTGCTGCTGATGTGCTATCAACTCACTGATAAAGAAATTTTATCTTAGAAGCATCTTCTGCAAATTAAATGATATCAAATAATCACTTGAAGCCAATACTTATTATTGTTTTTTCCTGTGAAACATAACAGTAATGATTTGATACTTTTACAGTAACAAATGACATTTACATGAGCCAATCATTTATGCATGCTATTTGAATTTATCTCACATTTAACATTTTCTGTTCTATCCAACGATATACTTTGTCAACTTATTTATTCTTTTACCGTTTTCTATAAGTTATTCTTGTAATGACTGTAGCATTTGTGATGTATGAATCTATGAGAAATACATTTCCGATATTTTTCGGCAATGCCGTATTGATGAGCTCACATTAGCAGTAACAGTTACAGTTATCCATCTTTTTTTAGATAAGTATATGTTTCAACTCCATATATTTCCAATATGTATTTTTTTTACGTGTCCATATAGGTATATTTGATTAGAGGTAAGATAAGATACAAAAATCCTCTTGTAACTTAACTATATTGAGAACAGATAAAATTTGACAACATTGTTTTTTAAATATGCATTCTTGTTGATAATTTAATTCACGCACGTATATGTGTTCAGTTTGCTAACAATACATAATATGAATTTTCCCTTTTAATATATTCGTTTTGTTTTTAAGCGCCATTTTTGGAAGATATGACAATAAATTTCTTAATTAATCAGACTAATGTAAGCTTTATGAAACATTTTGACAGTGTTTTGGAAGTATTTATCAAAAAAAAAAGAGTTTTATCCATAAAACTTGCAATTGAGAAATTTGTTGTCAAAAAAAAAGAATTTTATTTTATTTTTTTGAAAGTTTTACATTTATCAAAAAAAGTATTGATTTTTATTCATGCTATTTTAAATCTAGAATAAGATAAAAGCTTATTTGATTTGTTATTTCTCCCAATTTCCGTATGGAAGTTTTTGGTCTTTATTTCTTGCTATCCATTTTCAAACTTTTTAAATATGATACTTTACTAAAATACTTTCAACCTTTTGATTACAAATACTTCTCACCTAACTTCTTTTGATTTATTCACTGAAACAGATCAAATTTAACACTCAATTAATATTGGAATGAGACACATAAATAGATACAGTTTCTTGGCCAATATACTACTAGGCCTTACTAATGTATTATTCACTTTCTCTATTTTAGATCTATCTCATACTTAACCTATAACTTTTGCTTACAACAGAAATGATATCCGAGATATTATGGGATATATATGTATATATATTTTAGCTTCGAAACATTATTAGAGCTTTATAAATGATCGAAAATTCTAAAAGTTCAATGAAATACTCTCAAAATTGGGAGAGGATTAAAATAGCTAGTTTAGCATGCAGGAAAATTTCCATAATATCATCCTGAATGTTATCAAAAAATTGCAGAACTTTACTCAATTAACCGATCAGGAAATAAGTTAACACTGGAGCCAATTAATTTATGGATGGCCGGAAATATATGATGATATTGCTTAAATTAACAGGCAAATGGAGAGTACATACATGTAACGGAATTATTTCAAAAATATCCTGCACTGATAAAAATATTTAATAAAGGAAATGACTCATAATTTCTCTATTGATATTTGCAGTCTTAAGATTGAGAGTTAATCAAAAGAACAAAATATCTTAAGATTGCAAATATCAATTTCTTTATTGATATTTGTAGTCTTAAGATTGAGAGTCAATCAAAAAAAAAAACAAATAGTGATATTTGCACTGTTAAAAAGATTAAAACAGAAAAAGAAAAGAAAACAAATTAATTTTCACACTTATTTACTTCCAATATTTTCCTATTATTCTATCCATATATTTTAATATTTGATCTTCTCATATTATTCTATCTTTCAGTTATATTTCTCTCATTATTTTATTTACAATATTTTTGTCAACTTTTTAATGCATGCAATTTTATTAGTGTCTTTGAAAGATTTCATTTTATTGTAAAAATTTTAACATAGAAAATATGCACATTTTCTTTGTTTCTTTTCATGCTCCACTTTTTTTCTTTTTTTATTTTGTCTTCTGTTAATTGTGCGAAGAGACATATACGGGATGATAATTGCGCAAAAATAAAATGATTTCATAGTTCAGATAATAGCATATTTCACAAATTATTATTAAATTTATCACTATTTCTTAAAAAAATAAACTATTATTTAAAAAAAAAAAAGATTACTATTAGATTGAAAAAATTTGCTTGATTGTTGCTAATAATTTCTTTTTTTTCTGCATAAATTCGATTCAAGTAAATCAAGCGCTAAAGTTGAAAGAATTTGGATGGATCAATGAATAAGTGTTGAAAATGATTTGTATAATTGATGAAAATTGGAAAATATTAAAGTTAATGTAACTTTTTAAATGATATTCAATTTAGATTTGTAATGAAAAAGCAAAGGATTGTAATCATTAAGAATCTAAACGATAATATAATACAACGATAATACAAGTATTGTCACAATTAAAATGTATTTTTCCAATATTATGACGACGACCTCTTTTCTCCAATTCTCCTTGATGGGATGCGAAACTTGTTTCTCATTTCTCTCCCTCTTTCTCTCTCCCTCTATCTCTCTCTTTCTCTCTCTCTCTCTCCCTTTTTCTTTCTCTTCAACCACTCAAAATAGACATTTACTGTCATCTACACACATTCAATTTTCATCCTAACTTTATCAACTTTTTATTTTTTGTTAAAACATTATTTGCATAAATTAGCTAACCGAATAGAAGAAATTATTTCATTTGTTAGTTAACTAGTTGTAAGAAATTGGTAATAATTATCATTTTATCATTTATCATTTATTAAACAAAGGAATGAAAGTGAACTGCGTAATGATAGATGAAATAGAAATGATTATATTCTGGAAATTTTTATTAGATTGTTGTATATTGTATTGAATAGTTAAAATTAATCAATTAAGGCAAAAAAAAAATCGATCGAAAAGTTTATTTCAGAAACCGGAATAATGTAATATCATGATAATTAATGGTACCATTTTCCAGATAACAAATATGTCACGATTTTATTCATTTCGAAATATTTTCTAATAGATAATCTCTAAAAAAAAATAATACTATTTATTTTTTCTAGTTTTTAATAAAAGTTTTTTAAAATGTTATCGAATTTCTTGACTTCATCAACTTCCTTCACATCCAAAAATAAAAAAAAAAATAATAAAAAGTTTTTTTTCAAAATTTCAGAATAGTTTTATGTATAATGTAATACTTCAAATGTTTGCATAATTGAATTAATTGTTAAAAGTTTCATTAACGTTTGTGGAATGAATTTAAATGGGAGCATTTTGCTTCTTCTCTTTTACTGCTGTTTTATTGCTACATTTCATATGTAATTTCTAGGATAGAAAAGTTTGAATTGAAATGTTAACAATGTTTAGTTTGATAATGAAAGCCGAAAAATTACAATTTGGGAAGGAATAAATCAAATTTCTATTAATTACTGCTAATTGTTACAGTCGCATTTAATAACTAATAAATTTTAAATTTCTATTATCAAATATATTGACTATCGCCGTTATGGTTAATTATCAGCATCGTTACAAAATTATTATTATCATTGCTATTATTATCTACATTATCATTAATTGCCTAAATCAGCATTAATCTTCACTAATATTAATATTAATTTTATTCTTTAATAATGTTTTTTTCACAACATTTTGTAGAACACAAAGCAAAAAAGTAATAATTTATTTTTAGAAAAATTTTATTAGACTTGAAAAGTCTCATATTACTTCGCCAAACAGGATATTTTTAATGAATCGTTTCGATTAATGCAAAATGCTACTTATTCATTTTCTTACTTTATTTACTACCGTTATGTTACCTGTCCGTACATACAACAACAATATTACTGATACCAAAAAGGATGCAAAACGACAAGGTTTGTTACGCATACTTTGCACTTTGAATCAAAGAGGAAGTATATAAATTTGAAATAAATCAAATATTTCAGTTTGAATTTTATGATCTATGAGATTTTGTTGATAGCGACACGTTGAATTAACAACCAGTATTCTGATTTTTTTTTTTTTAGCAAAATTTCATATTATCGATGTAAATGAACAAATGAGTGAATTTCTCTAAGAATTTAAAAAAAAAAATTTTTTACTCAATAAATCTTATGTCAAATTATATAGACATAAAATATCGTTAATAACATTAATTTTATAACTATTTTTTTTAAAAAAAAAAAAAAGAAAATAGAAAACTTTTTTAGTATCGTTAAATGACATAATCCAAGGAGCGCTAAATTTTGTTCGACCAATTATTGGCACTTCAGTACCAATGCAATCAGATTTGACAACATCCAGAAAAGTTCTGTTTCATTCATGCAAAATTTTAAATTATTATTTCCCAGATTTATTTTAAAAATGGAATTGGAATTATGAACAGTTTTCGGCAAAAAATATTTGCTTTTTCAGCTACAATCAGAGCAAATGAGAGGAAGAGATGTCGAGATTCTTGGTTTACCAAAGCATTCCGCTTTAGATGATATGCCAATTTGCAAAAGTAATTCGAAAATATGCAAATTTATCACCTGTAGTGCTCGAAATTTTCAAAACGATGAATCAATATCAAATTTAAATTTGGCTGCACAAATGCTGGCTGATACGAAATTACGTAAAATGATTGCCAGGTAATTTACTCATTTTATTAAATCAAACTGAAATATCTTATTATGAATGGAGATTTACTAGCATGCTTGTATATTATCGTTTCAGATATCTTCTTATTCATTTGCATATATTAATTTCTACGTAATCTATGCCTAATTTCAATTTAAATTTGCGTGTTCATTTGTGAATGATCCTTATAATCAATATTCATAAATCAGATATTCAGTTCAAAAAAAAAAAGACGTGAACTTATAAGAAATGATTCGTAAGATGAAGGTAACTAACTTCATAAGATTTTTTAACGAGTAATCATATATTTATTTTATATTGATTTGATATTATAGTGATTCAAGTATATTGCTGACAGCATGCCAAGAACAAGGACTTTCTCCATTGCAATGCAAACTTTTTGCAAACGCATTTCAACTTATTGATCGGTACTTTTAAATGTTTTCTCAATAACTTTATATTCGGCGAATTATGCTTACAAGGCTATTTATTGCATTTATTGTTTATTTATATAGCAAATAATAATTTGAAAAAAAAAAATATTATTGAAATATTTCAGATTTATCTCAACCATTGAACCATTGGAGAAAGATGTTAAAAATTTACATCATTATATTATCAAGGATGATCCATACTATGATGATTCCGATGCACCACCCATTCCAATACAACCGGGAATGCGTCAGGCTATAGGATCTCAAACATGGTCTACCAATAGAAAGAATATCAGTGATGATTCTGATTTGATAACACAAACGATGCAACTCAAAGAAAAGCCGAATTTATCAGGAGTATCAACATTTTCAGATCCGTTCAAAAATTTACTAAATCCTTCAGATTTTCCAAATTCAAATAGTGCTGCAACATCAACAACCGTAGATTCAACGCTAACAAAACCATCATCACCATCAATAACGGCCCCCTTACTTACTTTTCCACCATTACTTTTTACCTTTCCAACTTTTGCAACAGTTGCACCAATAATATCCCATACATCATCACCAGAAAGTTTGAAACTGGAAGCATTATCACCTGTAAATTTATTGACAAAAGAAATGCAAATGCTAATGTCACATTTTGATAACAAATTGCTGTTACCAAATATAATATCATTACCGTCATCACTGATAACGTTACCAGATCAGTTTAAGTCGACGAATCCGGCTGGATCAGTAAGAAATAGACGATCATTCGATTATTATGATAATATTGAGGAATATAATGATGATACCAAAACTACGAGTACATCCATAGATCATGCAATCAGTGATAACAATCAACAAATGATAAAACTTCAGAAACAGATGAAAGGTCGGAAGGGTATACTTGATTGCATGAAACTTTTTAAGGATAGTTAAGCAATTGTATGAAAATGTAATTAGTGTTAATAAAAGCTTACAGTGTCATTTTCTAAATAATACAACTAGAATGCACTGAAATTTTATAACTTCTTCAATAAATTCTCCATGATTGTTGAATATTTTAATTGTAATATTTAATACTTTTGAATAGAATTAAAATTTTGCGGTATTTTTTTCTTCGTTGATGATTATATCTTTAACATCACTTAGTATTCAAATTGCAGTAGTAATCTTATAACAAATATTTTAATTAAACTATAAAAAAACTAAATGAAATGGTAAATTAAAACTGTGCAAATAAATAATATGCTTGTTTTGGATGAATTATTTTATATAGATTTTTTTTTACTTTAATTAGACAATTTCTGTCATTTATACGACGGGTTTTTGTAAAATAATCTGTAATCGCTTTTCTTAAATGTTTTTATTTTTTTTGTGTATTCAATAATATTTTGGGATAAAATTTTCTGCAAGAAATCAGAAAATTAGTCGAAATTTAAATGGAAAAAAAAATGAGGAATCAGATGTTTAATGCAATGTAAATTTTCTTTTTTCATTTATTGTAAGAAATTATGAATGATCGAAATAATGAAAGAAAAAATGAATTTATATATTTAGTTAATGTATTCATTTGTTTTTAAGTTTTAATACATGAAGTATGATTTCATCCATAAAACTAATTAATGATTAATGATTTTGATTCATTAGCAGTTTCTCCTTTCTTGTAAACTTTCTTCTTTCAAAGTAAAAAAAAAATCTTTCCCAATCAGGTTTCATCTTATCCCCTTTTTCTTTTTTCTTCATATTTTTCAATTTGTGATCCATTACAACATTGAAGTTGTAAAATTACAAAAAAAAAAAAAGAAAAATAGTGCTACTTTTCTCCCTTCACAACAAAATTTCGTTCTTAAATTGGTGATTATTGAAGTTGGAATAATTTTCAATGGGTTTACCTTGAAAAATCTATTATTGCTGTACAATCAAATTTGCGCAAAACCGGATTTTCTTTTTCATCCATTAACAAATCCGGTATCTCAAACCATACTCGATGATTTCTTATTCACTTATTCACCAAAAATATTCAAATGTAAATTTTTACTCACATTACTGTCGTTGGTAATAAAACAAATATAATACGAATTGTTCTATCATCTCCCCATTTTAATTAAATTTTCATTCATTCATCAGAAAATTTTACAATTTCAAGACAGTAAATTTTTTTAAATTTGAAATTATAACGATTTTTTGTGGTTTTCAACATTCATTAATGCTATTCTGAAGACAGAATAGACAAAATACAAATATGATTGAAAATATTTGAAATTAAAATGAGAAAAGAAATTAACAATTAAGCCTTCAATGTATCAATATGAAGAAGATTTGATGAAGTTGGAAATAATTGGAATTATTAGTTTTTCAGAAGATATAATTGGTGGTTTATAGTGATTATATATCAGTAGCTTTTTAAATGATGATTCATAATCTGGTTTAGCTGACAAAACACGATTGATTGAAATAGAAACGAATATCAGAACTTTTATTCTTCTTTCCTTCTCTCTCCACCTATCTTTCCGTCTCTCTCATGTCACATTTTCTAGAAGAGGGAATAATGATTGAGTTAATGGTTGACGATGTGATGTGATATGATCATGCTACCATTGCTATTACTACTATCACTATTATTACCAGTTCTGCTATGAATGTGATCATCGTCGATTTAGTGAAATTTTCAATTCTTACATTTCTAATATTAATTTATATTGATGAATTTCGCTGCACTGTAATATTTCCAATCTGGCAAAATTTTCGGATCTTAAATAAGACCAATCGAATGTCACAATTTAATAGGAAATTAAATAATTATACGCCAAAACAATTTGGTATTCTCACAAGACGAAAGTTTGTTAATAATAACACAATCGACTTATTCGCAATGAGAAATTATCAGCAAAACGATTTAACCACAAAGAAAAATCGTGAATTATCGAAAATTCGATATGAAAATTTCGTAAACAATAAATTACCAAATAATTCCAATGAGCTGTCATTGCGAAAAGTGGAAATTGGTAAGTAATATCAGTTATTATTATTGAAGTATCAATTGATTTATTCAGTCATCTAATCGTGTGATAATGCTAGAAATAAGCAATATTTGAAAGTGGATAATTGATGAATACGATCATTAAGCAATTCATACCATCACAAATTTGCAACGTCGATCTTGCGGTGATATCTCGAAGATATGCTATTCAATTGAAGCTATTTTAAACCTGATTAATAAGTTTTATAGCTAAATAAAACTTTTGGAATGGAAAAAGACAAAAATATACAATGCATAATTTGTTCACTCGGTCAATTATACCTTTTTTTTTTTTAGAATAATTAAACATTTTCAATTTTCCAATTGTGATCAGCACAGGTAATTAATTCTTTTTGACACCAAATAAAATGCTCATCAAATAAGCGAAATTGATTGCAACTGATCAAACAGTAACAAGTCAATAAGTCAGTCTTAGAATTTCATTCTTCGCGATGGTAAACATATCAAATTTTGTTTTTTTTTTTTTTAAGGAAACAACGAGCAACAATCAATCCAACTTTCATCACTCGTTCGAAGTGCTGCTGATATGTTAAAATCACTCCAAAAAATTGCAATCCAGGGACAGAATGCTCAATACACTGAAGTTTCTTATTTAAGACATTACATAACAAGCATGGATCCATCTTTTTTTAATTGAAATTAAAGGATTAGATTACGAAAAGATAAAATTCTATGGTTTTTCCAAAATTTGTTTTAGCAAATTATTCGACAAAGGCAATCAATGCAACCGCTACTAGCAGCAACACGTGAATTTCGACCGGGAAAAAAATTATCAATAGCATCTAATCTCGACAGTATGCCAAGTACCATACATAAAGACAATCTTCGAAGTATGACGTAACTAATACAAAATTATGATGTAATTAATGCAAAGTATGAGAGTTTCGGGTACAGTAATTCCAATGGATGTGGCTTCCATTTGAGATGTAAACGATTTACTCAAATTTAGATTAGCTAAATCATTTTATTTCAACCAATATGTTTTACCCTAATTTAGCTAGTTCTATCAGATACTAAAAAATGTCTGATTTAATCTTATTTTTCTCAATATTTAAAGTAATACTTTGGATATTATAGTAAGAATAACTTCAGTATCCGACTATCTTCATCATATAATAACTTGAACATACTTTGTTATTGTTTTAGGAAAATTACGCTTATACTTTCTTCAGAACTTCTCCTATTTCGACCTTTTTCATCGCTCATTGCTAACATCGATCTTCTTCTTTTTAATTTAATGAAAATTTTATTTGCTTATAAAAAAAGAGAGTATTAAGAGAGCACTGTGGAAATTTTGGTAAATGATGTTTGAAATGCAATTTAAACTTTTCGAGGTAAGACAACAGCAGCAGAAGATGCAGCATGGGCAGAATTGTTATTTGGTCCACGTGGCGTGCTAACAGCTGTTTTCCATATTCTTGATGATCGACGTAAAATAAAGGAAAAAATAGGAGACAAAATTGCAATCAATAGAAATGGTAACGATAACAGTGAAACAACTAACACTTATCATCAATCAGATTTGTCATTACTACCCGATTTCTTGGTAGACGGTCAGTTCTCTCATTTTTTTTTCTAATTATTATTTTTGAAAATGAAATTTTGATCCTTTTTTTTCAAATAAGACTAAAAGCTAAAATTTAACATTGTACAGTAGCTATCTGTTCAATTGTTATTAGTTTTTGTTCAGCATTATTAGAAATCGGAAGAGACTTCATCATAAAATTTTCTTTAAAAAATTTCTAAATTTTTAAAGCAATCAAAGAAGGAAAAAAAGTCACTCTGAATGTATTGGAAAATGACTCTATAAAATTGCAGCAAGAAAGATTAACAGTTGTTGAGTTAATATTCTTGGATAAAGGAAATTTGAAAATCTTGCGAAATTGTTTCGTAACATTCCATCACTATTTTTTACACGTATTTCTGCAAGATTCATTAAATAGCTCGAAACAGAAATGCGTTCTGTCTTTTAGAGTCATATTGAGAAAAATCTTACGGTTTATTCCCGACATCTCTACATGCAGCTTATGAACAGCTGTTAAAAGCAGCTTACAGCGAGTGGGGTTCGAACCCACGAGGACTTACGTCCATTGGAACTTAAGTCCAACGCCTTAACCACTCGGCCATCGCTGTCTCCAACCACGGACACTATTGATCCGTGATATTTAATAATTTATGACATTAATTTTAATAATAAATTAAATATTTAAAAATGAAATTGAAGTCAAAAATATACAAGGATGTAATAGAGTTGAAAGAGCGACTTGCTCTAACCAATGATATTTATGTTTAGACAGTTGCGTGCAAGTGTAAACCATCAACAATTAAAAAATTTTTAAGACTAATTCGTCAGATATTAACTTAATAAAATGAATAAGTAAAATATTAGCAAACGTTAAAATTAGGCATAAAATATAATTTGTACATCAAATTCCTATCCTATGTCATTTTTACTTACAACGCCTTCCATTATTTTATCAAACATTTCCCTTTATTTTTACTGTTATAAGTTTTTTTTTATTTAGCATTTTTTATTATTAAAATTAAATAAATTTACACTAATTCTATTAATTTACTAACGTTTAACAATTTTTTCCTAATGAATTTATTTATTTTTCTCAGCTATCTCTTTTTTTTCTTTTCTTTTCAGCAAAACCAATCGATTTTGCAAAAATTTTTGAAGCATTTTTAACTGGTTCAAAAGGAAATTTTGATGAGCGTATTTTTAATTTACCGGAAATATTGGGAATTTGTAATCGACTTAGCTGTGGAGATATTTATAAAGCTATTGATGAATTTCGGAAAAGTGAATTTTTCATTAATTTTCAGGTGAATGCTTCTTTGTTAAATTTATAAATTGACAAGTGTAGACTGTATAAATAATACAAAAAAATGAATAAATATAAATGAATCAAACTCAAATTATTCTAAAATAAAGACATCCTTTTTGAATAATTATAGGTTATTTTTGTCTGAACTTTGATCTCACCCATCTAACTGTAATGAACTTGGATCGAACATGGAAAAACATTTATACAAACTATTGCAGACAGCATTGCAGCTAATACAAGATCCAAAAGGATGGGAGATTCTCGGTGATCTCATTTCAAATCCTGATCTGATCGCTCAATTCATTAATGGTTCAGAAAATAAAGGTGACCGTGGTAGCATAGGAAATTTGTTTGGAAGTATTACTCGTGCTTCAAAATCATCGAAAAATAGTGGTAAAGGTATCAGCTATCATTTTGTTAGCAGATACTAATGACTACTTATTATATTATCAGAAATACTATCAGTTATCATTTTGCTAGCAGACACTGATGAGGAGATCTTATGAAGCAATTCAACAAAAAGATAATATGAGATGCAAGTCATCAAGCATTTTAAAAATTAATTTTTTGCAGAAATTGGTCCAGAAGACGGCGATATCGGCATCGATTTCAGCAAGATGATTGAAAATGGCCATGGTGGTGAATTTAGAAAAGCAAAAAAACCAACTGCCGAAGAACTACCTGAAATTGCCGAGAACATTGATGGAATTGATTATTACAACGCCGTAGGTTTGGATCATCTGGCATTTCCATTCATATAATATCATCCAAAAAAACAAACAGATAGAAAGTATTAAATGATTAATAAATTGAAAAATTTAGATGAAAATAAACGACAAAAAGAAAATAATAATGAGCACAGTATATGCTAAGAAATTATGAATAAGTAAGTAACGAATGGTTTTTTGAAATAAAATATTCAATAATTATAACCATCCAATATTTTCATATTATCTTCTTAATTTTTCAGATTGAAAGTGGCGCAGATGTTGATGGTATGGAAACGATTGCTAAATCGGATGTCGATGCAACAGCAGGAATTACTACGATGGTACCTTTAATGCAAACTACAGCACTACGTGTAATTCCGGATCAAGATTTAATATTGCCCGAAATTTCTGAAAATATTGATCAAATCGAGCAGACTAAAATGATAATCGATGCCACTATGCCAATTTCAGCAAAAATTTTAAGGTTTGCTTTCTCAAAATTGCTCTTCGACTTTTTATTTCATTGTTTTTCTTATTGTTATTATTATTTTATTTCGTTGTTTGTCATGTTTATTTTTTGAATTTTCAATTTTTCAAAAGTCTTTTTCTGGAAAATTTCAAAAGGCCAAGTGCTAATATTAACTGTTGCAATCTTATTTTAATTTTCAGCCGACAAACTGCTTCCACTCTTCGAAGATTACGACGTCCTTATGTTACAGTAACTTACAAACCTGTTATGGCAAAAACAACAGCTGTTCGCAAGCAAGCCACCACCACCTCTATTATCCCAACAATAACTCGTTATCCTAGCATAACCGCTATAAGATCAACTTTTACGACAACAACCAGAAATTTCCGAGAAGACAGTGATTATTATGCTATGTATTATGACGATGTCAAAGGTTAATATCAATTTACATAATTAGTGGTAATTGAGAATTTGAAATTTCTAATTCTTTTGTGATAAATTTTGATTTAACGTTGCGAGAAAACGAATTTAAAAAAAGAAACAGAATAGAAAGAGGATGAGTGAATTTTTTTTTAATTATAGAATTTAAAATATTTAAAATGACAGTATACACTTCATGAATTGTAACAAAATCAAACATCTATCAATGTCAAACAAGTTGAAGACTGTCACAATATCTGAGATATTTCAATGCTTCAATTCATCACCAATTGCAAAATCTCTCATTCAGGAGAACATATGACCTTTCTACAATATAAAGTGTCAGAGTTCAAGAGTAATGATTATTTCTGTACCTGATGATCAAGGATAGTGATTGTTCATATACCTAAAAATACGAAGTACCAGAACTCAAGAATAGTGATTGTTACTACACTTGACAGTACAAAGCTAGATTTGAGATACAATGTGAAATACCACTATCCAATTTTTTTCCGCAGTCCACCGAAATACCAATAAATTTAAAATATTTTGAATAAATATGGAATTTAAGGCATAGACAAATGTTTGGCATTTATAAAATATAAAGGAAATATAAAAGCAAAATATAAAATATGAAGAAATATTTAACAGAAAATGACATCATCATACTTTGTGTTATCAAAGTGTTACCAATCAGCGTTACCAAATAGCGAGACAGATAATTGACGATATTATCAGTACCGACCGGTAAATGCCGACTTATCGAGCATTTGGCATTTGGCAATAAAGTATACATTAAATTAACGACTAATTTTATAAATTTAATTCAGTAAATTTCAAAAATTATCAATTTTAGTGTGATATGATACCGCAAATTGTCACAGTTTTCTCTCATTTCATTGCAAAATCGATGACAAAATTGCGGTAAACCTTTTTGAAAAGAGTTCGTCAATAACACTCACAGAGCGACTCGGAAAATCGAAATCATTTCCCCGGAAAATAAAATTCTGGAATTCATAATAAGAAGTAATTAATTAAGCAATACTTCCTTATCAGTGAAGGTTGTAAAATTAAATGGTAAGGAGAGAAATCTAAACCGCTAATTAGAATATGAATCAATTTTTGCTATTTTTATCCGATTTCCTGATGGAAATTGAAGCTTTTAATTGGGTTTCCGATCACAATTACAACCATCATGCTGCTGCTCTTACTTTCCTTTTCTCACGCTAACAGTGCCAGTCGTCCATGCTTGCTTCGCTACATTAAGCCATCTGACATCATCGATCGAGCGGTCGATAGCCAATTTGCCACGTGCTGCCTTTATACTTTGTGATCGTTTGGATGTCTGTAAATGATAGCTTAAAATAATGCTGCTAGCATTACAAGATAACACGTTATCCCTACATGCTAAAACATTACGATAACATTTGCGTAGTTTACCTTGAAGTAATTACGAGTTGATTAACGTGAGCGATCGCGATTTATTTTATTTCATTTTCAGAAATTGGATTAATGAACGATATGGTTAGCTTATTAATAACAATACTGTAACATGTGTCAAAAATGAAGAGATCTGCATGAATATCAATATCTGTGGTATCTTTACTCTTTAATTTGTTTATCTTTTTAGTTAATCTCTCTATGAAATAATCATAAGTGGGGATTAATTTTGGTGTTATAAAGATGTTTATAACAAAAATACTTTTTTTTTCTACTTTTACGCACGTTTCTCAAAACTTTTCCATACTTTATTGAAATCAAATTTTGTTAGAGAATTATTAGATCGTTTAAAAATATAAGGTATGGAAGTATAGTAAATATGACGAAATATAAGTTTTCTTCTTTCTCATTTCATTAAGAAAGCTTCATTTTTTTTTCTTTTTTATGTATATTTATCGAAATGTCAACTGTTTTATTTTCGTTATAATTTACATTTATTATAATTTATCTACAGGTATCAATGACTGACATGGTTCATCTTCCATCGCATTTTCAACGAAGTATTTATTAGATTTATAGATTTGGTAAAGGAACGATGACGGTAAATCAGAATGTATTCAAAACAATGAGAAAATTTTATCGTTCTGGTAGTGAGGGCCATTTACCTTTTCTTGTTAATCCAATCGCAGAAAAAAAAGCGTCTCTACGTGTATGCCGAGTAAGGAACTTTTCTTAAACCTTTCATAGATAATATTGATATTCAATTAAATGTTGTTTTATCATGTTCTTATGTAGTGTGACATGAAAACAGGTACAACTTAATTTTTGAAAATTGTTGGCTACAGAATGATCCTGTGCAGCGAACTTCAGCATTGTATATATTTTTTTTATCTTAAATGCAATTTTTTATGTGAAAAAGTAGTTTTAACAGGCATTTCTTCAGTATTGGCGATCATTAGCTCGTTTACAACGTTTTGCTCTGCTCATTTTATTTCTCTTTCTATTCGTCGTATGTTTTAATATTGCAAAAGATGCAATAAGTGTAGAAGATATTTATCAGTTACCAAGAAATATTGCAAAAAATGCAGAACCGATCGATGTACCGCCTGATAATGATAAGGTTTATGTTGCTATTTTCTCTGCCATTGGCATAAATTTCCTTTACAACTTATACAGATAACAGCTTGCATAATTTAAAGTAGGGAGCCTTTCCAAAACTTTTTAAAAGTGTTTTAGTTTTCAAAAATTTCATTTGATTTCATATCTTTAATTTAATGTTTGCAAATTGTTACGTTCATTTTCTTCTAACTTTCAGTCGCTGGAAGGAATGGTAGATGAAGAATTATCATTGGTAAATGAAAGTCGTGAAAGATCTAAAATCAAACAAGAGAAGGATCGCAGTGATGAAAACAAAAGGAAGATTCAAAGAAGAATTCATTTTAAAGGTAGCTTAAAATCTCTCTTTTAGATTCGCGTAACAATATTATATATTTCATATTCCTTAAGATCTATGAGATTAACAACTATTTGCTTAAAGCTGTGATTTGTACTAAAATTTGCGTAGATTTTGGAGAGATTTATATTGTTCGTGTAATACTTTCGACTGTTCTTTGCAGCATTGTTTGTTTTTTGTTTCAGGACCACAAAACGAGAGACAAAAAGCAGTAGTGGAGGCATTTAAGCATGCCTGGAAAGGATATAAGAAATATGCTTGGGGACATGATCATTTGAAACCGGTTACTAAGTCTTATAATGACTGGTTTGATTTAGGATTGACGATTGTTGATTCATTATCAACTGCCATTATTATGGGACTTGATGATGGCAAGCTTTACTTAATCCTTTCCTAGCTAATTGATTTTTTGTAAAGACTTTTATTACACTTCTATTCCAGTGGCTCATTTTTTTTGAAATCCATTTTTTTTTTTGTAATAAGAACATTCATCTTTTACCGGAGCAATTCACCACTTATACATTAACCATGAATACGAAAAAAAAGGTGAAGAAAAAAGAATGAAAGTTTTTTTTTTAACTTTTATATTATTAAGAATTCGAAGAAGGACGAAATTGGGTCGCTGAATCTCTATCATTTGAGAAGAATCGTTTTGTGAGTTTCTTCGAAACAACGATACGAGTGCTTGGTGGTTTACTAAGTGCTTATCATTTGAGTGGTGACCAAATGTTTGTTCATCGTGCTCAGGATCTTGGCTCCCGACTTGCTGCTGCTTATACAACTTCATCTCCTGTTCCACACAGTGACGTTAGCCTTACGAATAGGTTTTTTTTTTCTTTTTTGTTCAAATTTTATCCTATATAATAAGTATTTTGTTGTTAAGGCAAATAAATTCGGCTGGAGTTATATTTCTAACTTCAGTTGTTCATGATTAAAAACACTTAGCAGTAACTTTTTTAATTTTTAAAAGATCTTATTGTTAGGTGGTACACAATAATCGGCCATAATTGCCTTTGTAGTCATTGAATAACATTCCTTGTATGAAATGCCGCGCTTTCTACTATTTTTGAGAAAGACAGATTATGCAAATATATAAGTATTTTGCATTATTAGTTCACATTATCATGTTTGCAGAACCAAAAAAATCGATTTCCACAAATAGTTTTTTTTTTCTTTTGATAGTTAATTCATGAGCTTTGTTTTTTGCTGAAATATACGCAATCAGTTAAGTGATATGTGTTGTCATGCAGTAAAAAGTATTAACTCTAAGAAGAGTTAGCAATAGTTTTGGTTCGAAAAACATCATCGATAGATAGTTTCGATTCGGAATTTTTATATGTTTAATTTTCAGGGAGGGAAGGCAACCATCATGGAATACTTATTGTTCTCTTTCCGAAGTAACAAGTGTTCAATTAGAATTGCGAGATCTTTCTCGAGTAACTAACAACAGCACCTATGAAGTCAGTTTTGCTTTTTTATTTTATGATCTCAGAGTTAACTTGAAAGTGACTTAAATGAAATAATTTAATTAATTTATTTAAAAAATATAGATGCTAGCATTTCGGACATCCGAGCATGTGCACAACGAAGGTTGTCAAGAACACGATGGGCTGTGTGGTATGTTTATCAGTCCAGTGACAGGACGATTTAAAGGTGATATATCTTTTTTATTGTTACTTTACCTCAAAGTAAATCAATTTATGTGCATGCAAGATTACTTCTAAGAAAAATTTTGTTAATGTTTTTTTTTTCTAGAGCATATGACCATTACTATGGGTGCACGAGCAGATAGCTACTATGAATATTTGTTGAAGCAGTGGCTACAAACTGGCAAAACAATTGACTGGTAAAATCGCACGATTTTTGCGGCAAAAATTTTAGTATTATTTTTTATGTTTGATTTGTATTGTTTAGGCTGAAAAATGATTACAACCAATCGATGGAAGCAATGGAAAAATATCTTTTACAGTACACAAAACCGAATAACTTTGCCTTTATTGGTGAAATAATAGGTGATAATGTATACTCTCCGAAAATGGTAATGCACTTTATGGTCTTTGAACTCATGAAGTTGATTTGGTAACAGAAATGATAAATCACGACAGTAAACTCTTTTGCATTTGTATTCTGATTCTGTCAGTGTCAGCTAAAGGATGACTATAGGGAATTATTTGGATATAAACATTGTAACTCCTTTTAGAGCATGCACATGCCGTGCATTCACGCTAACAATGAAGATCGCATTTGCAATTCATGTCCTTAGATGTAAATTTTTAGGATCATTTGGCATGTTTTATTGCTGGTACTCTTGCACTTGGAAGTCTGAATGGTTTGCCAGCAAAACATATGGAACTTGCAAAAGATATCGCAAAAGGATGCCGTAAAATGTACGAAACAAAAACGGGCTTAGGTCCAGAAATCATTTATTTCAATATCGATCCAGCAAATACTCATGATATTTCAATCAAAGTAAGTTAAACTTTAATTGTGAGTATTAGTAACTCCATATTTTTTCGATGAAGTATACTTTGTGAGAAAAATTAGTTTATGGAGAATTAGTTCAAGAATTGTTTACAGCATATGGATGCGCATAGCTTATTGCGACCGGAAGCTGTTGAAGCTTGGTTTTATCTTTACCGAGCAACAGACGACAAAATTTATCAGCAGTGGGGATGGGAAACTTTCAAAGCTATTGAAACTTATGCAAAGCTTGAATATGGGTATTCTTCAGTAAATAACGTTAAAAGAATACCCGTGACATATAAGTAAGTTGTAATATTTAATTATGTCTATTTTCATAAGTCTTTGAGAAAAGTTTGATTAATGCTATCTACTTTGTATCACTTACTTTGTTTCAGGGATATGATGGAGTCTTTTTTTTTGGCTGAAACCTTGAAATATCTTTACCTGTTATTTGATGATGACAAAACTGATATTCCTCTGGACAAATATGTCTTTAATACGGAAGGTCATCCCTTGCCAATTTATGACCACTGAAATATTGTTCGCAAGTCCACGCTTTCAATTTACTTTATGAAAGGGAAATGCAAAGCGTCGAAAAATTCTCCATTGTAGATTTTTTAAATATATTAGCTAAATTAAAAAAAATGAATCTTGCTATCTTTATCACCGAATAATTTTCCAGTCGGTTTGAAACTTCTGAGAATATTTTTGGTGTGCTTCAATCACACGTATTTGATCGTACAGATGCAATAGGTATTTCGATAGCATCTACGATTTAAAGCTTTTGAATTTTTATAGTTGTTTAATTCGATCTAGAGAATCAGTACTTCATATTCTTTCTAATTGTTCATAACTGGTTTCAATATTCGGTCAAATTGTATGATGCAATAAAATTGTGCCGGTTAATTTTCTTTATATTTTTTTGTCAATTTTGAGAATTTAGAAAGCTTTTTTTAATTTTAAGAAGTTTAGAAAGATATTGTAAATTCTCAATGCTTCCTAATTATGCGTCGTGAATTATCCACCGGTGATTTCATCCTCTATCTAGTCTTTCTCAATTTCATTATGATTTGTCTTTTTTCTTTTACAATATTCAGACGGTTTGTTAATCTTTAAGAAGAACAGAAAAGAAAATGGCAGACCGACCATTAGAGATTGTTACTGCTAACTGGTACACGCCGACTTCATTCTTTAATTCGCTCATTTTTTATGAAAAGTGGAAGTGAGTATTAATTTATCCTTCATTCTTTATCCATATATATATTGTGGCACTTTTGATATTTCGACAATACTTATGTTGTGTTTGAAAGAACCATTTGGAAGATCTTTGGAGTCTTATCAATTTTTTGATGGCTTTGATTTAACAGTGTAAAACCTGATGTATTTTTCACTGTTTTCTTCTGATCTGTTAGAATTCAGCTAACAAGATAAGCAGCTTGCTGAAACTATATGTTTTTTAATATTGAGAATGTTTGTTTTTGAATAAGTTGTTACATTACTATGTTAGCAATACTTTTTATTATAAGCGCTATATTTTTTTTTTTGATTGACTCAGTAGTTTTTTTTCTAAATTCATTCATCATTTTTTTAATGTGTTTCTGATTTAATTGCAGAAAGAAGCGAAAAAATATCCAGCAAAATTTATGCTTTATGAATAGATTGCATTCAGTAGATATGACTGTACTTACGCATATCGACTATAGTAGACTTTTTACATTATTCAGTGATGTCTGAGAGAAAAAGAAATATAGTTCGAAAAAAAATGGTATACATATTTAGCAAACATAATAAGCTTTAAAAGATCAAAATGATTTGCTTAATGTATATGAAATTCTTAGTGACATCAGGAGTG